TTTTGTCCGGACTCCTAACATAGCTCTACGTGCGGATTTAAATAATATAACGTGATGTGTTATATTGCGGAGGTTATTTTGGAGTTATTGAAGTGGAACCACGTAAGTTATTTAGGGGTTATTGAAGAAAAAATTATGCATTGCACTTCAATAACGCAGAAATAATCTCTGCAATTCAACTTCAATAACGTCGAGGTTATTGAAGTGAAATATATGAGTTTCTCCTCAATAACCCAGAAATAACCTCCACGGTGTTATTTCAAGGTTAATAAAGTGAAACCGTAGAGGTTATTTCGGTGTTAGTTCGAGATTATTTCGAGGTTATTGCGTAGTTTGCAGTTTCACCTTAATATTTTTAGGTGAACAGATATAGCACACATGGCGGTATAGTATTTGGAGTCCACATTTAGAGTTATGTTCGAAGTCTAGACAGAAATTTCCCTTGAAAGTGGGAAGAATAAGGGGATATTATATAGGAAATTGAGAATTTTAGCTTTCAAGGTGTCATTTTAATAACATGATTTAATCAGCTAAATTTTGGTACCAATTTATGTGAAGTAGTTATGTATATTTCTTGAATAATAACGAGTGTGTAATGTTTTCATGAGTTATATTTTGGGATTTGAATTGCTTGGTTAACTCTTTAGGTGAAGTTAAACATTTCATGAGTAATATTTTATGAAGTTAAACATGCTCGCTCTTTGAGATGCATTCGTTTGGATGGGCTGCAGAAATAAATAGTGAATTGTAAACTATTAATGCATTGATATATATGGCTATAAATGTGGCTAAGCAAGTAGTTTTGCGTGATATTCATATGAACCTGTATTTTGAATCATTTTAAATTTATCTGAGCTTAACAGCTAAAAACTAAAGTCCACTGAAATTAAATTATATCATTCATGTAAAATATTATCGCTAAGTTGCTACTGCTCATACATCATTAATTGTCTTCCGCTATTATCGTTATCGCGTCTACCATCATTGTCGCAATTTGTCAATTGCCTACTACCATCACCATCACTTGACTCGGTCATCGGCCGTCCATCGTGCTGCCTAGGGCTGTCAATTTGGCTCGTTGTTCATGAACAGCTCGTGTTCAGCTCGTTAAGCAACTCATGTTCGGCTCGTTCGTTAAGTCTAACGAGCCGAACACGAACAAATTTTTAAGCTTGAAATGCAAACGAGCCGAACACGAACAACAATTTATTCGCTCAAAATTTTTAAGCTCGAAATGTAAATGAGCTGAACACGAACAAAAGTTTGTTCGATCGTGTTCGGATCGAAATGACTCGAAAAAAAAATTATATAATTTTTTATATAACAATATATTACATATATTATTTATATAATAATATATTATATATATTTATGTTTAAGTTTAAATCATAACACCACATGTGACAATGTGGTTAATGTCTTCTTTTGTATATATTTGATTCAGGTTCGAATCTCACACTTTACATCTATTTTTCTAAATTTTAGTTTAACGAGTCAATTTCGAACCGAACACGAACACGAATATTTAAATCTAGCCGAACACGAACACACTGGTCACAAGTCTATTTCGAATACGAGCCGATTTCGCAAAATAAAATTTAATGTAAAATATTTATAAGAGTGCTATAGTTAAAATATTGTTAAAATACTTTAGTTGTTTAATTCGCTGTAAAATAGACAAATTTTTTTTTTATTTGAAGTTGATAAAAATAATATATTTTAAAATATATTATTTTTATCAACTTCAAATAAAAAAAAAATTGTCTATTTTACAGCGAATTAAACAACTAAAGTATTTTAACAATATTTTAACTATAGCACTCTTATAAATATTTTACATTAAATTTTATTTTCAGCAAACCAAACAATATGAATGAAGATATTAATGGTTGAAAATGTTTATCATGTCCAGAATTTATAGTTAGCCAGCCATTTGAAGCAGAGATTAAATGTAAATAACTGTAAAATAAATATATTTTGCTTCAGCAAAGATGTAAAGAAATGTTTTAAGCCAGTTGTACTTATAAATTAAGCAAAAAGGCATATTTATACCACATAATTCATTATACATCATATTTGGTCAAGCTAATTTCCCCTAAACTACCAAGGCGCTCAAAAAGAGATAACCTCTGTGGGAACAGAAGGAAGCCTTCTTATTCATTAGAACACCATCTTTAATATAAAAATGAATTATGAATAGAAAGGATGTCATATAACTCCTTTATTTCCATAAAAAAATCAGCAATATCATCAAAAAATCTGCAATATCAATGTTTTTTAATCATTCGATCTCTGGGTCTGGATTGGTATTCCTTCTCAACTTCTAAATCAAATATTGTTTGAAGAACTAGTTTAAGAAAAAAATAAAGAAAATAAATGCTAGATGCAAAGATATCAACCTTGACAGTGATTTCTTCAGGCTTCGCAGCGTGCTGCTCCAAATCAATGATCTGGAATTGCAGGAAAGAACCAAAAATTAGAAATGAAAACTAAAAATGATTCACCTGCAGAAGATTCAATTTTGATTCAAGTTAACGAAGCAATAGATTGGAAGTGTGTGGAAAATGGACATACATACAGAGAAGAAGTTGGCATTTCAGACGAAAAGAATGAAATCTATCTTGTTTCGTTGGAAGAAGTCAGCTGTACGCGAATATCATCTGATCTCAACTCATCTCTAGAATCAGTGTTTCCAGTTGGACTGATCCCAGATGCTTCCTTCTTGAGCTTGTTATTGTTGTATGCCACAACACCAGCAATGGCTGCAGATATCAGTAGTTTATGATGAGAACCTCAATTAGGGGTGTAAATGAGCCGAACAAAAGCGAGCCCAGGCTCAGCTTGTGTTAGGCTCATTTATATTTCGAAGTGCGTTCGTGTTTGGCTCGCGATGAGCTGTTCACGAACAAAGAGTCGTTTTGACAACCCTAATCACGTAGTCATAAGATGTTAAAGGTTGGGGCAATATTTAAAAATTAGGGTTTATATTAAAACATCATTTGAATCTAATTGAATAATTTTTATTCTATTTTCTTAAATGATAATTTTAATTGATTATAAATCTTTGTAGCCTTGTAGTCAATTAAATTTTTTAAAAATACTACTCATTAATATATATATAATTGATGAGCAGCATATCGAGCCAAAACGTGCCGTTTGGTTAGTTAACTTAGCAAACGAGCCGAACACGAGTTGTTCGCGAACAAAGAGCCGTTTTGGCAGCCCTAACCGTAATGGGATTTTGAAGCTTCACCGTATATGTTCAGTAACAGCACTCACAAACAGCAGCTTCATACAATTTGCAGTAAAGTAAAACATGATCGGATGGTTTCACCACCGCCTGTATTCGTAAAATAGGTAATACAAAATAATGTGAAATTGGTAATGCAAAATATTGTGAAATTGGGCCAGTCCAAATAGTCTTATAGATAGAGGGATTGTGAGTATTTGAATAGTCTGGTGTTCGTATGTGGTTTAGCATTTCTCTTGAAAATTTATGTTGGGAGACATTGTAAAATAATAAAAATAGTTCCCAAGGTTCAATATGAGGCTAGTTTGGTTTCCAGCAGATAGAAAGCATATTTTAAAAATTGGTAATGTTATTTTCACTCTCTCTAGCTTTAAGGAACAAAATGAGCTCTAGCTATCAAAACAAATGTCCATTTCTTCCTCTGCTTAAAGATATTAAAAAAAATGTTCTAAGCAAATTAAATGCAGATCTCTAAAATATAGGAGATAATTCATTTTGAATGACATTAAAAGAAACAATTGGATCTCTAAAGTTTTCGAAGTTTAGGTTTTTGTATTGAAGTATGTAGAGCGTTATATTTCTAGTTAATTTCCATTATTCCTTATGGAAACCAAGACATTTTGCATAGAATACCAATTATATTTTATTGATTCTATGACAACCTCTTAAAGTTATGCCATGAGAAAACTAAAACAGATAGAAAAAAGTAATCGATTTTATTGTTTTTACAATCCTAATGCTTCTGTTAAATTAAATGTAATTGACTGCATTTTTCTAATTGTAGGTGATCTTTCCTCTCTATTTTTGACACTTCCCATGCTATTATAGCAAAATTCTCCCCAATCATGATTTTGTTTTTATTGCTGGGACAGCTATGGGTTGTTTCTTGCCTGTATTTTCTTGTAGATAACAAAAGAAACTTATTTTTGCTTCTCTATAGATTTCAACCAACACCTAGTTATTTCTAGTTAACTTCCATTATTCCTTATTGAAACCAAGGCATTTTGCATAGAATACCAATTATGTTTTATTGATTCTATGATAACCTCTTAAAGTTATGCCATGAGAAAACTAAAACAGCTAGAAAAAAGTAAACGATTTTACTGTTTTTACAATCCTAATGCTTCTGTTAAATTAAATGTAATTGACTGCGTTTTTCTAATTGCAGGTGACCTTCCCTCTCTATTTTTGACACTTCCCATGCTATTATAGCAAAATTCTCCCCAATCATGATTTTGTTTTTATTGCTGGGACAGCTATGGGTTGTTGTTTCTTGCCTCTATTTTCTTGTAGATAACAAAAGAAACTTATTTTTGCTTCTCTATAGATTTCAACCAACACCTAGTTATTCCTAGTTAACTTCCATTATTCCTTATTGAAACCAAGGCATTTTGCATAGAATACCAATTATGTTTTATTGATTCTATGATAACCTCTTAAAGTTATGCCATGAGAAAACTAAAACAGATAGAAAGAAGTAAACGATTTTATTGTTATTACAATCCTAACCCTTTTGTTAAATTAAATGTAATTGACTGTGTTTTTCTAATTGTAGGTGATCTTTTCTCTCTATCTTTTACACTTCCCATGCATTATAGCAAAATTCTCCCAATTTTGTTTTTATTGCTGGGACAGCTATGGGTTGTTTCTTGCCTGCTGTATTTTCTTGTAGATAACAAAAGAAACTTATTTTTGCTTCTCTATAGATTTCAACCAACACCTAGTTATTTCTAGTTAACTTCCATTATTCCTTATTGAAACCAAGGCATTTTGCATAGAATACCAATTATGTTTTATTGATTCTATGATAACTTCTTAAAGTTATGCCATAAGAAAACTAAAACAGATAGAAAAAAGTAAACGATTTTATTATTTTTACATTCCTAATGCTTCTGTTAAATTAAATGTAATTGACTGCGTTTTATTAATTGTAGGTGATCTTTCCTCTCTATTTTTGACACTTCCAATGCTATTATAGCAAAATTCTCCCCAATCATGATTTATTTTGTTTTTATTGTTGGGACAGCAATGGGTTGTTGTTTCTTGCCTCTAGTTTATTGTAGATAACAAAAGAAACTTATTTTTGCTTCTCTATAGATTTCAACCAACACCTAGAAAGCCCTTGAAGCAACAACCATAAGGGAGGTAAGGACTACAATGGTTTAAAATTGGCCGAGACACATTTTGAGGCTCGCCTCAACACTTATTTGAAAAATTCACAATAAGAATTGTTACTACATGAGGTGAGTAATGTAGGTTTTTTTAAAATGAATATAGATAAAATAAACCTAATAAAAATTTTTTTTTACCCAAAAAATATACTGAAGATATAAGAAGTTGTTACCGTCAATATAATCATTCTTTTAAAATCAAATAAATATTCTTAATAATTATTATTAATTATATAAGAGAAAGATAATTAAGATTCAAGATAAAGAGAAATTGCAGAATATGAACACAACGAAGGATGAGACAAACTTGGAAGCAAATTATTATGCTAGTGATTCTAAAAAAGACACATAAACTGATGCGAGTGTTAGGGCCATTTGATTTTAAAATTGGGGCTTTTATAGACATAGCACCTAAAACTTTCATATGTACTTATCTCACCCCTAAACTTTCATAATTACAAATATCATATGAAAAGTAACACTCATTATCACCTTTAAATAGTTAAATCAATATTTTCATCCATAGATAGAGTTATGTGCGTAAAAATAAAAGTTTAGGTGTGAGATAGGAAAATCCATAAGAATTGGGTGCTATGTATGTAATTTTCCCTTTAATATTTTAGTCATGCTCTCACTTTAATGAAGAACAATAGAAGTAAGAGATAGAACCTAATTTATATCAAACTTATTTTAATTTATTATGTTATTTATTTTATTATATTTGATATTTGAATGTCAATACAAAACTTCTTACTATGCACAATTTAAATTTTTTAGGGGAATTTACATACACAGCACCCAATTCTTATGATTTTACCTATCTCGCACCCAAACTCTCATTTTTATAAATCAAGCATCCAATTTACCCTTTTCACCACTCCCCAACAGTGAAATACATATTTTCATCCATAGGTAGGGTGCTGATTTTGTAAAAATGAGAGTTTGGATGTGGGATAGGTAAATGCATAAGAATTAGGTGCTATGTATGTAAATTTCCATTTTTTCTATTATATTAGGATATTAATATATTGATTATTAATATATTAATCAATTAAGATACTAATATATTACTATTTACTACAGACTTTGAATTTAGTGCAGTGCTTTTTCTCTTGTACTATTTATTGATTTTGAGGTAAATGTCGCTCAATTGCATAACTATAAATCTTAAGAAGGAGATATAAAGGTTGATGGTAGTAAATCGGGGGACGACGTATATAATGTTCATGGCTATTTAGTCCCAATAGGGGCTGATGACTAAGATAAAGGAACGAGAGAAGAGAGAAAAAGGGTATAAGGGAGAATTGGATGTTTTCTATTGTAACGATCAATCCTTTACATATGCCACTGCAATACGATAAAATTCAAAATCACCCTAATCCATCCTAAATGAATTACATAAAATAAGAAAAATGTTATTTTGGATTCTAAACAAACTAATAGAAAGAACGTGGAATTGTTACGTGCCCGAGTTTGCGACCTTATAGCGATTTTGTGAATGTGCAGAGAACAAGAATCATCCTTGCGTGCTCTATTTATGTTGGTAATATTGTAGAATACTTCGAGGGATCATCGGCCTCCTTAGTTGGTTTAATTTGAGAAAAACCACAACTCCCAATCAACAAAAGGTTGAAAATAATACTTATCAGAGAATCTTCATTATTGGCCTCAAGCTAATAAATAGTCGAACAGCCTTTGGATGGAATAGGCAATAACCCATTCTTATGGAAAGGAAAGTTACAATCACATAATTCTAGCACTAATTTATTGAAATGAAATAACATTGATTGAAATAACATTAATGTAACTATTGATGGTAAACATCAATCACTCTCATCCCATTTAATGTAATTATTGATGGTAAGCATCAATCACTCTCATCCCCTGGTTCTTGGTCCCTAACAGAAATAAATCCATATTTAGGGGTGCCCAACAAATAGAATCTTTAACAAGCTAACCAAGCCATCTTTGGCAATCCGCTTAATCTTCATGCAATGGTTAAGATTTTCTACCCCATTACTTAATCACTTGATGCTTAGTCTACAATCATTTCACACCTACAACTTTTACTGACTTCATTTTTAATCTCATCAATGTGCTCTAAGAATATCCTCCTTTGCCAGCCTTCATCAATAGATCAGATCTCAACCATCCTATCATCAATGGTGTGGTTGATAAAAAAGTAGAGGCCCAATATTCTATATGTTATGCAACTCGAAAAGATCTCAAGCGGAGGCTTCATTATCATTCATTAAAGAGCACAACTGAATTGAATATGAACTATAGGCAAGTCGTCATCCAAATTCTCGAGATGCTTGCCACTACAACCTCACATGAGATT